ATAAAGAAGGCAACTTTTCTGAGTTGTCCATTATGAACATCATGTTATAGTGGTCCATGTCTTATTTCTTCTTCATATCATCTCACCGATCCACGCAGCCTTCGCAAGCTCTCGAGTCAGCCGGAGCTGGTCTCCAGCATATTACTCTCAGGCAGATTACTCCCATTCAGGAAGGTATCATATTCTGTTATTCTGTGTTATAACAAAATTTTACACTTAAGTTACTTTATTATGCTACTTTATCATCATCAATGATTAGTATGTTTTTAATTTTTTAAAATTGAGGCAGTACCACTAAGTATCAAACATTTTTTTTAATCTTACTTTTCTCCAAAGTTCACAGTCCCTTGCTCACTGTTAAGTCCTACACCATCAAACTAACGTCTATCCAGCCTCGAGCACAGTGCTTCATTTTATGCTCACAACACTCCAGGCGACACTGTCGCAGATCCTCATTTTTTTCCCTTTTACTTATTTGAATGAAAGACAAAGCGCTCCCATCCGCCCTGGTTAAGGCCCAAACTGGGAACCCAAAATACAATCTGGATCTGCCAATACAAGTGACAGAAATTCAATTCCTAGAGCTGACACCACTGCCTGCCAAGATCTACCCTGGCAGAAAGTTGGAATCACAAGCCAGAGCTAGGCATCAGACCTGATACTATGATTTGAGCTGTCTGTGCCCTAATTGGCAGGCTATATACCTGTCCTCCAGCTTCCACAGGTACGTGAAAATTCCACCTTGTATAGGTCAGAGAAATGACCTTCCTGTATTATTGCTCAAAGGCTCACACGACAAATCCTCATGACACTGGCTAAACCCATGGCCCTCCTTCTAGAGTTATTGGCATGTGTTCACCCTCCTAACCACTGCCAACAGTGTGCTGGGCCCCAAGCCGGAGGCCCCTGAGGAGGACTGCTGTGAAGATATAGCTGACAACTTCGTATGATCTTCTCTTGCAAACTATGCCAGATTCTAAGGGAAGCAGAGGAAGGAGAGGTAGCGCCAAGAACTCAGGCAGAAAGGTCTGCACAGCAGCCATGCCACCTTCTCTCAAACCCTTCATCCGAAGTGCTTACTAGATCGACGCACTGGAGAGAGGAATGCTAAAACCAGAGCTGGCAGTCAAACGCTTTTAAGCAAAGTCTAATCAGTACTCATTAAGCACCAATTAAAAAAAAAATGCCAGTTGAACTAACAGAAACCTCTCCTAAAACCATAAACCCTGAATATGCAAATATGAAGATGAAATTATTGTAATCAGTATCTCAACCCAACATTACTCAGTGGTTTCCGTAGTGCGTAAGAAAAAGTCACCTTTAGAGACACACGCTGCAATGGAGTAATGGCAAATGTGGAGCCACAAGAAATCCTAAGCCTCTTGCTCCTTGGTGGGGCACTACTACATAGAGTAACATCAGAATTTCTGCACGGCTTTTTTGTACTATCAGCACACAAAACTCAGATTAGATCAATGAAAACAAAATCTTAGGAGTTGCCCCCAATCCCACCTCTGATCAAAAAGAATACAAATTCCATAATCAGGGATGAGATCACTACTCTAGATGAGGCGTGTCGGAAGAGTGGCCTGGGATGGCCACCACTTCAACTCTTGTTAGGAATGAAAAGCCCACGGTGTGGCACAGTGATGCAACAAGTTAAGCTACTGGACATCGGCATCCCGTTATGAGGGCTGGTTTGAGTCCTGACTACTCCACTTTTAATCCAGTCTTCCAGACTCCTGCTACCATGCTTGGGAAAGTAGCTCAAGTGTTTGGGTCTCTGCCACCAACTTGGGAAACCTGGAAAGTTCCAGGATCCTGGCTGGTGAATCAATAGATGGAAGATCTTTCTCTTTTCCTTCCTCCCTTTCTCTATCTTCTTCTCATTCTGAAACCGCTTTTCAAAAAATGAAAAAAAAATTAAAAGTCCTTTGTAGGGCCTGGTGCAGTAGCCTAGCAGCTAAAGTCCTTGCCTTGAACACACCAGGATTCCATATGGGCACCTGTTCTAATCCCGGCGGCCCCACTTCCCATCCAGCTCCCTGCTTGTGGCCTAGGAAGGCAGCCAAGGATGGCCCAAACCCTTGGGACCCTGTACCAGCATGGGAGATCCGAAAGAAGCTCCTGGCTCGTGGCTTCAGATCGGCTCAGTTCTGGTCGTTGCGGTCACTTGGGAAGTGAATCAATGGATGGAAGATCTTCCTGTCTCTCCTCCTCTTTGTATATCTGCCTTTCCAATAAAAATAAAGCTTTGGGTTTTTTTAAAGTCCTTTATAAAGGATTTTGAAAATGTATTTCCTTGAAAGGCAGGGTAACTGAGAAGGGAAGAGAGAAAGGGTAGGTGAGTGGGGAATGGGAAGAAGAGAAAAAGAGAGACAGACTGATCTTCCATCCGCTGGTTCACTCCTCAAATGCCACCAACAGCACTTTGGCGTAGGCCCAAGTCAGGAGTCGGGAACTCCATCCAGGTCTCCCATGAGGTTCGCAGGGACCCAAGGACTGGAGCCATCACCTGTTGCCCCCAGGGTGCACGTTAGCAGCGAGCTGGATGAGAAGCAGAAGCAGGACCCCACAGGAAATTTGGCAGCGGATGCAGGCAGCCCAAGTGATGACTTAATCTGCTGTGCCATAATACTCACCCTCAGAATGAAAATTCTCAGGTGTCACCCTGTACCCCACAAAATGTGAAAGAGGGTGGGGGACCAGCACTGTGTTTAATAAGACCATTCAGGTGGTTGTGATGCACTCTGAGGTTTGACCACCACACTTTCAAATGACATAAAAGCTACTATTATATTATAGAATATTTATCCACAATAAACTAGAAAAAAATCTTACAAAAATGGCAGGTAAAGGCTACTGTAGATAAGAAACAAAGCTCAAGAAAAGGTATAACACACACAAACTTAGCTACTAACAACACTCCTTAGAACAGAGGAGTTAGTAAGCAATTCAAAAAGATGGTCATGTGAATTGTTACAGAAAAATCAATAGAGAAGGGTTTAGCAGTTATGACAGCTCTGTGGATCCCTGCTTACCCCCTGCTGGAATGTCTTGCCTGTAGACCTGGCTCTGCCAATTCCAGCTCCAACTATTCTGTAACCTAAGAAGCAACAGGTGATGACTTAAGAAGCAGGGTCGCTGCCATCCATGGGGGCGGGGGGGTGGGGGGGGAGGACCAGGGTTCAGTTCGTAGTTGAGTTCCTGGCTCCAGCCTGGCCTAGTTCCAGCTGCTGCAGGCATTTGGGAAATGAAGCTGTGGGCAGGAGCTCTCTTCCTCTGTCTCTCAACAGTTTTTGAAAATCAAGATGCAAATTTATCCAAAAACAATACTTAAAATAGGAGAGTAGGAACAGCAAAGAATAAATATCTAAGTAACACAGCCACAGTGGCTCTGAGTATGTAAGAAAAATACCATGTTTTTTTTTAAAATAATAATAATGTATCATCTTCAGAATTTTGAAAAGCATATTTTAAATACAGTATCTAATTCCCAACCACATATTATACACAAAAATTAACAACAAAAGACAGGGAGCCAGCACTGTGCTGTAGCAGGTTAAGTCGTCGCCTGAAACATCTCTACACTGGGCACTCCAGGCCCAGCTCCCTGATAACAACACACCCAACAAAGCAGAAGACGGATCAAGTACTCGTGCCCCTAACACCCACACTACAGACTCAGAGTTCTGGCTCCCTGGCCTCAGCCTAGCCCAGCCCTCCCTGTCACAGCCATTTCAGGAATGAGCCAGTGAAAGAAGTCTATCTCTCTTGCTCACTCACTCGCTCTCCCTAACTGCACCTTTCAAATCAATAATCTTTTTTAAAAAAATAACAAAATAGTAAAACTGTTAGAAAAAAACAAAAGTTCCTGAATGGCTTTGGGTAAGAAAAACTTTAGGATTAGGAGGAAAAAACAACTTCTCATGGCTGACACATTTGAAAATATGCTCATTTTTAACTTCTGTAAGATGGGACTTCCTAGAAAAAGTGACAAGACAAGCCTGAGACTGCTAAAAGAATGCACACAGCAAACACGGGGTCACTGCCCAATGCAGCCAGTGCAAACCTATAAAATAAGACAAATATCTAACAACCAATAATATAAAGCCCGTGTTTGAGCTAGCACCAGGAGAGAAAATTAAAAAACCCAAATACATGAAAAGTAACTGAAGCCCACTTGTAATTCCCTACAAATGACTCAAATGAAACAATGAGATACTATTTCTTAAGCTGTGTAAGACTGGCAACAATGTAGAAACCTGTCACTACCAAAGTGATGGATCATGCTTTACTGAGATACAAAGTAAATAAATAAATCAGCAGGAAAAGCCATCAATAGAAAGAGGTAGTACATTTATACAGAAACATTACACAATAGTTTTACGGTAATAACTCAATCTATTTCTAACATGAGCGCTCGCTTTGGCAGCACATATATTTCTAACAACATGAGTAGTTCTCAGGAAACTAAGTAAAAATAAAAATCACAGAATTAAATGTCTTTAAGACCACCTCTATAGATTCTTAAGACCTTTGGAAGCATTGCTGTGTATCTAGTAATCTATGTAGAAGAATTTTTAAATAACCTGTAATAATGCACACTAAAGTCACAACGTCAGTGAGGTCACTTCTAGAGAAGGGACAGGGATGGCAGTCAAACAGACTTCTGTAATGTTCTAACACTTTCAGAAGGAAACCATATATTAATTTCTCTCTTAAAAACCAATTTAAAGGAATGTGGGAGGAAGAAATCCAAAGTACTAGTTTCTAAATCCAAACAGCAGAACTCCATTTGTACTTTCTCTTTTGTATTCTTCAGCTTTCAATCTCCCTCTTCCCCCTCCAAAAAAGCTTTTCCAAAACGAAAGAATACATTGTATACTGCATAACATCAACACTAGCTTCCACAGGAACCATCCGATCCTGGTGTGCTCCAAACATGTGACCTCTACATCTTATCACAGAACACGCAGCCAAAACTGGTTGGCACTTACGCATGTAAGGCAGCTTTTCTGGACACGGGAGATACGGTGAATAGGTGAAGTTTTCCGGAAGGTATGTTGTTGTTTGAACAAGATAATCACTTGAATTATTGCCTTCAGGATAATCTAGGAAAGAAAAAAAAGGTACAACTAGGAAAAAACCCAAAACTACCTTTTCCTGTATCCCAGCAAAAAATCTATCACAGTTGCTGTGAGACAATCACAATACACAGTGTACATCAAGAATAAAAAGCCATTGTATAGAAAGAACCAGCCAGCTGCACAGGACTGCCATGCTGAACTGCCCAACACGATTTCCCAGGAGACTTCTGGAGGGCAAGTCGGCCTCCCCGCTCCCACTGCAAGCATTAGCCAAGTCCTCCTCCCAGTCCCAGCTAAGCCAGCGCTACTGGAATCCTCTCCACTACTCATCGGCCAAAGGTGTCCAGAACGACTCCACAGCCATGGGGCCTTGTCACCACAACACAGAGGGCTGCGGGTAGTGTTTGTCACATTTCTGAAACAGACTGACTCACTTCAGTGACTTCTGTAACATAGCCCATTCCAAACCTTTATGTTAGTCATTCCCTCCCAGTGTGCTGCAGCCTCTGGGGAACGGTAGTGCTAGGTCCCTATCTTTAGAGCCAATAGGCTTTATAGGTTGTAGGGTAGATGTTAAAAGGGCCACAGTCAAACGCCCAAAATTCAAATTGGTGCGGCAAAGCATACTAGTTTTGTGATACACAGCAAGACACAATGTAGATTCTCATCTGGACCTACTTCATTATCACTAAATTCCAAGTCCAGTAAAAGAAAACAACACTGTGTGCTTAGGAACAAGACCTGGCCCAAACATTCAATAACCGGGCCAATCCGAGACAGCCACACTTGAGGGTTTTTTCACTGTAGAATCAAAGACATCACATTTGGTACCTTTTTAGAGCAAAATTCTGAAATACAAATCAGAACCATAGTGTGTCAGTTACCTGCTCTACAGAGGAAGCTAGCCTAAGAGAATGCGATTAACATGCATGAACAAGCAGCAGCAAGACGGAAACAGCTGATTAAACCAGTCTCTGTCTCTCAAATCACAAATAATATACCATAGGGGAAAAGCAGATCTACAAGACACTATGGGAAAATATGAATGTATTCTTGCAGTCTTTATTAATCTCTACCAAGGGGACTGTAAAAGCAAAACATTCAGGCCAATGAAAAACGGTAGCACATGTGCGCATGTGATCTATGGCTGGGAACAGGCCTGGTTGGGGAGCTAAGGGCACAACCCTACCTGGGTTAAGATTCCCACCAAGGAGCGTGTGGGCTGGAATGGGGGCTGTATTCTGATCTGGATATGGCTGTAGTCTCCCTTGGCACAAGTGTGGGCTGGGACTGGACGCACCAAGCCAGGCTAGACTCCAACATCATCTTGTGCTCTGAAGGACCAGGATAGATGTAGGACGGATGAGGCTAGGTCTCAGCCCCTACTGAACCATGTGTGAGCTGTATGTGGGTATGGACGAGCCATGGCTGGGCTGAAATATCCAACAGTAAAAACCAGATTGGATTGAAGGCCAGTCAGGAAAAGCCACTGTTCCTGCTAGGACAGGAGGTGAACTGAGTAGGGATGGCTCATGGACTCATGGGTATGCGTGAAATCTGGCACTGGGAGAGGTTCTGATGGAGGAGCCTGGGCAACTCCTCTGGCAGGACACAGTCCCTGCAGGTAAGCGCAAGAAGCATGATAGGAAACAGCCCAGAACAGGCCAGGTGAAGTTTCCCACTGGCATACAATGGGCAGGGGTCAGGGGCAGATCTGGCTGAACCAGTTCACATCAGCTGCTGGTGAATCTGAGCACCAGAACAGAGTGTGGGTTGAGCCAGGTTCGGTTGCAACACAAACCAACATGCATTACAAATGCCAAGGTGAGGTGACCTGTACCGGATGTGGCACCCAACAGCACACACAAGAACCAGGGATGGGGGCAGAGCCAGCAGAGGGAATGTGAGGGGAGAGTGCTCCCCTGCTGGACAGCTACTCCCACTGGAGAGCATGAGCTGGGATGGGGACAGACCAGACTAGGCAGGGCTACAATACCTGGGCGTCTTATGTGGCCTAGGTCAGGGAAAAGCAAGGCTGGGCTGATTATTTCTACTGGTGCAAACAAAAATTAGAGTGGGTGATGGTTGTTTGGGCTTAGCGGCCGTATCAGCTGGCAGAAGCTGGCACTGGGGGCTAATGGGAAGACAGCTTGCTTACTCATTGCTCTCTCCCTTTTCAAATAAAATAAAAAGTGAATTTTAAGTGTATTTGAAAATTCTTAATTTCAGAAAGTGCCAGTGTGCTTAACAGGAATAAGGAAGAGTTGCAACAACAAATATAGACTGGGTTTTTGCACACAGCAGACTCTTACACATACTAATAGAATTGATCTCAGAGCTTCTTTGTACGGCCATAAGAACAAGCTAAGTAGCTATTCGAACACCACTTTCTCAATCTCTTCAGTTAGCTGACTTTTATTCAGCATCTAGTACATATTAGGCATCCATGAGAGCAGGAACTAGACTATAAACGGGTCATCCCTGGAGATCTGCTGCTCCTGTGTGTTCCAAAAAACTGTTGTTTTTTATTATCCTGACATAGAAAAACATCAACATTTACACGGGATCCTCGGTGTCACAGATTAACCTTAATTAAGAGTATTTTTTTATTCTACACAATTTACTAATTCCTGTTATTAATGTCCAGACCCACATTTTTATCCACATGCCTAATTCTACAGACAGTTCTTTGAATACTTCTTTAAAACAGAATGTTAATAGTTGCTCATCCAGGGAGTTGGGTGACAATAGGAGAGCCAGAGAGAATCAGAGACTTTTTTCACACTCTCTTCTAGGGTTAGAATAACTGCATCTTTTACACATACACACAAAGAAATCTCAGTTTTATCAGCTTCAGAAGAATCACATTTTTTAAATGTCATAAAACTGTTCACATTACCAGTACACTCACTTTCTTTGCATGAGGAAGTCTTAGAACTTGTTCTTGTCAGCCACATCACTATAAGGAGCTCAGCTCACGGGCAGACTTAAGACCTCCACACTCTGTGTCATTCCTATCTATAACATGTATGTCTGTTCACCCCTCACCTCTCTCCTCTGAATATCTTTTTTCAAATGAAACCAAGTGTCTCTGATTTGAAGCACCTAGCAAAGTATCTATAAAAGACACGCTGCAAATAAGCACTTCACAACTGATGACACAGTGGTTACTTGGAGACTACCCTGTAATAGAGCCAGGAAGTCATATTACCTACAAAAATAGTCAGGTGAACAGTATCCATCATCTACAACCACTGCCTTCAGCGTGGAGAGCAGTTTTAAAAGGTTGTTAATGGGCATTTGAGAGATGTTACCACAACACCTGGCCAAGGTAGATGCTATTTCATCTAGTAATCTCCATGGCCGTCTTCCTCCCTTCCAGAACCGCACCGTAAAGGAAAACACAGAATGAAAACTGTTAACAGGTCTCAACTCTCACTGCACCTTCCCACCAAAGTGTCAAAGGAAAAGAGCGACTGAAGGATGCCTCTCAATTTAGAGCAGCTTAAAACACGTGGTACCAACTCGACGCCTTCTTGTCTGATTACCACCGACTTGTTGTGCCAGGGTGGGTGGTGTCTAGGATGGTTTAACAAACTTACCAGCTCTAACACCATAGATCCCTTACCACTTGCTTCAGGAATTGTTCAACTCAAATCTACTTTTTATGTCCATTATATCTTAGCTTCCACAAAGAAAAGAAAATGCGGTATTTGTCTTTCTGCATCTGGTTTATTTTATTTGGAATAAAGACCTCCGGTCCCATCCATTTTATTACAAATGTCATCTTTTTATGGATGAATAATATTCCATCATGAATATACACTAGATTTTCTTTATCCAATCATTAGCTGATGGATATCAACAGTAATTTTATGACTCTGCTATTATAAACTGAGTGGCTATAAATATGGAAATGCAGGTAATTTCATGGGCTGATTTCATTGCCTTTGGACATATTCCCAGAAGCGGGACAGTTGGGTCACAGGACACATCTAATGTTAGTTTCCTGAGGCCTTCCCATGCCGTTTTCCACACTGATTGTACCCATTCTGCACTCCCACCATCAGTGCATTACAATCTCCTTTTCTCCACATTCTCACCACCATGCACTATTTTTTGAATATTGGATAACAGCCATTCTAACTCAATGTGAGGTGGTAACTTGTTATGGTTTTTATTTGCATCTCCCTGATGGCTAGTGGTCCTGAGCATTCTTTCATGTGCCTGCTGGCCATTGTATTCACCTTTCATCAAATATATTGATAAATATAACCTACTTACCATTTAGTGTTGAAGTTAAGCCACTATGTATTAATCTCATTGCTTCCCACAGGTTTCAATTAGCTTCTCATACACTTTAGTCATTACCTGCTTTATAGTAGAAATAATCAACTGGTGTATATATACATACACTAGTTATGTTTCCATCTCTCCCAGAAGTTCGGAGATCTTTAATGTGGTGTCTCCAATTCCCAGATAAGTCCATGTCAGAACATGGCAAAGCCCTCCCAGCTGTGGCTTCAGGCTCTTCCTTCCCTTCTCCTCAGGTAACAGAACCTCAGTGTCATCCAGGGCACCATGTGCCCAGCTCTACGACTTCACCTCTCTGCGCCCTAGCATGAGGCCGTAGCATCAAGCTCTGAGGTGCGTGCTGCACAAAGATAAACTGAGCAAGACTTCTGGAAAGACTTTCTAAAAAGGTGGGCCCTGTTTGTTCTTCCCCTGCCCTTCCTTGCTCCCTATCAGCCAAAGCACAAACACGAGGGCTGCAGCCCCAGGAGCCAGCAGGCTGTGAGCTGACTATGAAGCTGCTTGACAGGGCAGGGATGAACAGCACGTGACTGCAACTTCCGCCGAGGCAGGCTCCACCACAGCCACAGACAGCAGCATCCAGTGTCCGCAGGCTCCACCACAGCCACAGACAGCAGCATCCAGTGTCCGAAGGCTCCACCACAGCCACAGACAGCAGCATCCAGTGTCCATGCAGCCGAGCTCCAAAGGCCTCCTGTGACAAAGCCGCTGCTGTCGCGCCTCGGTTACACCCAGACTCAGTTCCTGACTGACACAATCATCATCCCCAGGGCATAGTTTTACTGTCAGCAAAGAATTTGAAAAGTTTTTTAAAGTTCATGAAAGAAAACAAAGTATCTACTAGTTTTGGGTCTGGAAACTGACTTGGTGAGGGCAAGACAGGATTTTTTTTTTCCCTTTTTTAACTTGAGTGCCGAAAGGAAGGTGTGCCTTGTTCAAGTCATCATTTCACCGCATCAGGTTCAGAAACCACATCTCAGATGGGCTTCCAAAAAGCTTACAAGACTAGCAATACATTAAGCATAGTTTTCACACATTCTAGACCAAAATAAAAAAACAGCCTATAATTCCATTATCTGTAAGCTTTTTGAAGTAACATACAACTTGCTCGCATACTAGGAGAAAAAAAAAATCTGCTATGCACAGAATTTTAGCACTCACTTATACAGAGTAACCAAAACACTTTCTTTTTTTCAATCAAAAAAAATTTTGAGGGACAGAGACCCCCCAAAATGCCTCCTGCCAGCCAGGAGGAAGTAGGAGTGGGAGCAGGGAATCCAGGTCTCCAACAGCACTGCCTGAGCCAAGGGATTCCATCAGCGAGAAACGGAAGTCAGGAGTCACAGCGAGGACATCAACCTGGGTGCTGTGAGAGCAGGACAAGGACATCTCAACAGGCAGGCCAAACCGCCACTCCAGACTTTCAGGAAACACTCTCACAACCCACTGACTCAACAGCACAAGCCCTAGAGGAGACTGCAAACTGATGCCAAAGCCCAGTTACTGTGACCGCACTATGAAGGATCCACCTTTCTGAAAGACATACTCTTGAGACCGAAAAGACTAAAAACAATTACATTTGATCTGTGGCATCATCAATTAGACAAGTGAGGAGAATGGATTCAGAATGGACATCAAAATGCAAAGCACCGTTACAGTCTTGAATTTTGTAGACAATCCAAAGCTATGATCTATCTCAAGATGGAATTCAGAAAAAAAAAAAAAAAAAGGATGGTTAGGAGACTGATTTCCGGTTAGCAGAGAGTAAGGATGGGGTGTACATTCCTCCTGCCACAAAGAGCTGTTGAATCAAATGACCTTTACGTACCGTAAATGAGAACAGAGAGGATGCAGCAAGTGGCAATACCATGCAACTTCTTTTATACATTTAAAAAATTTTTATTTATTTTTATTAGAAAGTCAGATACACAGAGAAGCGAAGAGACAGAGAAGAAAATCTTTCATCCGATGACTCACTCCCCAAATGACCACAAAGACCGTAGCTGTGCAATTTGAAGCCAGGAGCCTCCTCCAGGTCAAACACATAGGTGCAGGGACCCAAGGCTTTGCATCGTCCTCTGGTTTACTAGGCCACAAGCAGGGAGCTGGATGGGAACTGGGGCCACTGGGACATGAACCAACACCTATTTGGGTTCCCAGAGCATGCAAGGCAAGGATTCTAGCCACCAGGCTGCCACGCTGGACCCCACACAATCTTTTAATATAACCCTGAAATACTTTGGGAGCCACAGTGGGCTACAGAAACCCCAGTATTCCTCCACCAGAGAGAAACCTGTTTCCATCAATTCTGCCAATACTACGTCATCAGCATGGCCTCTGAACCTCCGATTCTACAGGAGATTCTGACACTTTTTAAACAGAAGCAAAAGTAACATTTCTCCCCGAATCCAAGTAAATGCAAGTAAAACAAAAAGTGAATGCAAGTAAAAACAATACAGTTTTTCCAGATACGGTTGGAAAACTTTCAGCAATTAGAATAAGCCTTAAAGAGGGGTAGTGGCCTGGTTCATTAAGAATAAACTACTCTGTGATTAATTTCAGTTGGCAAGCTGAGAAAATATATGCTGCTTTTGCTATGGGTTTGCAAGAACAAACCGACATCTCTTTGTATAGAATCCCATCACTTTGGTGGCCACATCCAAACACATCCTACAATGTATGACAGTCAATCAATGGACAGAGAATTACATGGAGGCAGAGCAGCATTGAAGAGATCCGGCTGGCTGCATGATGACTACAAAGACAGGGAGCGGGAGTAAGGTCAGGCTGGCAGAAGGTACTCTTACCTGTACCGTTGAGGGTAGTGTTTTTGTTTGTGTACAGCCTGATCATATGTCCTATCGTCTTCACATTTTCTCTCAACATTATACCTCGAGCTTGTACCATGAAGAGATATGTATTGGCTAAAAGGAAAAAGAAAAAATATTGATTCAATAAGCTATTCTTATTTGATAAAATAGCATTCAGAATTAGAGAAGTGCTCAAACAATATAAACTGACTCAACATGTTCAAAGGAATGAAATATCTAAAAATTAATATCCTTACCGTAAAACATGTGAAAGCAAGCTGATATTTTAAAACAATTTTTAAAACTCAAACAGCAATATCCCTTGATCAAATATAATGAAGTAGTATAAGCAAATGCAAATACAAAGAATCACTTTATTCATAAATGCTTTTCTGCTGTAAAATATACGTACTTTAAAAATTCGAAAAGGTATTCTAAGTACTAAATCCTATTAAATTCACTTTCTCTAACTCTGCTTTAGACCAAAAACTTCACAAATGGATTCTTTATTTGATGGAAAACATAAACCTAATCAGTGCAAGTATGGATTAATATCTTCGAAGAGATCTGGCCAATTCCGACAGATAAGAGACAGAGAGTCAGACACAGAGGAAGGAAGCTTCCATGACTACTGCTTCTGAGAGACCCCAGTCTCTCTCTCCCTTAGCTTACAGCTCCCTTCCTGACTTCGATGATGACCATTCAAGTCCTCACCACAGGTAAACTCAGAATGTTCAGAGAATGGTGCATGGGCCAGGCAAGGCCCCGCAAGACCCCAGATCACAAGCCTTGGTGCTCATCACTTCTATACTTGATATCTTAATGCTCAAGTCCATTGTGAGATGCTTCACAGCAACTCCAGGCCCTGATTCAACAGAATTAATAACCCATCTCCTCACAGACCTCCAGACAGACCAAAGATCCACCAAACCACCTCGGACTTCTCGGAACACACCAGTTGTCCTACTGCAACCAATAAGAGGAAGGTCACAAACCCTGTGGACCAATCAGAGATCTGCAACTATCTAATCATATGCTACTCGCCCTAAGATTAATCTGTAAGAAATGCCCACCACTAAGCCCTGAGACAGTCCAAGAACCAAGTTACAGCTGCCAATTCCTTGAACCCCTACAGCCTTCCACCACCCCAGCATCACTGTCAGATGCTGCATGTCAGACAAGTGGACCCAGGCATAACATAATCAGCATCGATTCCAGTAACATCTTTCCAAGTGACATCTTCTGAGACATCCTGCCTCTTCAGCAAGGAGCGGGGCTGAAGTCAGAAGACCCTCAGTGGGTCCTGATTCTGTTGGTGCAATGCAGAACACTGGAAAGAGCACTGGATCCACTGGATCAGTTTGAAAATCCTGAATCCCCCTGGGGTGTTCCCTGAAACCCTTTTCCCATTACATTCTCTAATCATGAAACTAAATTCATTCTCTCTTGCGCGCGCTCTTCTCATCCAAAGGCAGGTCAGAGGCTTATGGTAAAGCTAAGAAGCTGCATGCTAACAACTCTTCCATTTAACAAGCTGCCGGTTAGCACAGTAATGACACTCGGGACAAAAGAATGCAATGGAAGGGTCAAGAATGCCAACTGATTTTCTGAGTCCTGCTCTCTTTCTTCAAGGAAGAATATAGGGGTAAAAATGTATTACCTCCCTGCCCATTTTTTAAATGTAAATGTGAACTTGCTCAAAGTACAAAGGAGCAGAGCATAAATAACAGCAGGGAACCAGAGTGAAAGAACACTGCATTATTTCACCTTCAGTCTTTTAGAGAGAGGAGCAGAAATCTAGGCTTCACGTCAGCTTTACCTTGCTCGGTTTCAAAAGCACATCCACATGCTTTCTAGAAAGCAATCCTGTAATTAGGCTTTCACTTGTTAAGGCTTGAATTATTATAGTGCATTACGAACACCAGAAGGTTTTATTACTTTTTTGCACTTGAGTGGGTTCTAAAGTAGAGAGGCAGGCACTGGATGTCCATATCCCTTACCTGAGTGCCTAGTTGAAGACCCAGCTCCTCTTTCTGTCCAGCTTCCTGCTAATGTGCATCTTGGGAGACAGCAGATAATGGCTCCGGTATCTAGCCCCATTTTCCACTCAGGAGACCCAAATCCAGCTCTTGGTTCCTGACTTCTGCCTGACTTAATCCTGGCTGTTATAGGTATTTGGTAAGTAAACCAATGAATCTAAGGTCTCTGTCCTTCTGCCTTTCAAATAAAATGAAGTAAATTTTTTAATGGAGGAGATGAAGATTAATAAAAGACAACCAAAAAAATTTTTAAGTGCTCAATAAAAGCCCAAGTAACATTTATTTCTACCTAAACCAACATTTAAAATTCAACCAAAATGATGCAGGGGGTAAGTAGCCAACAGATCATCAATGTTAACAGTTTGACTCCAGATCATTTCATCCCAAAATTATGTAGGAAATGTGTTATCAGGGACATGAACATCTGATGTTTGCTCTGCAGCAAATGACAGAAAAGAGGCCTGCCACGGGGCATAGAGCTTAGCCCAGGGCAGGAAACCCACCTGGTAACAGCCTGAGCAAGGAGATGCTAGCTAAAGACACGTGTCTTTCATTATACAACAAAACACATCAGGATGAAAGAAATAATCACTGATGGTCCCTGAGACCATCAAAGGTGCATTCTTTGTCAAAGTGTCCATTTGTTATTCATCAAATGGATGGACGAGAAAGATAAAGGTGGACATCAAGATCTCCAAAGGAAGAATCTATTAGTTTATTTTAAATCGCATATAGCTAATTGAGTTAGATTTCTTAGGTTAATAGCCCTCACAGGTTTAATCCCCGAGGAGCTACACTCACTAGGGAATAAACTGTTTAAATACAATGTTGCCAGCAGAAGGCCATGTGTCAAAGCACTGCAAGAGACATGAAACAAAGCAGCATGACAATGTCCTCTTTCCAATTAAAACACAGCTACCTGAAGGCACAAGCAACCAATTTGCTGGTTATCATTAATATAAAATGCAGTCTCTTTGGTGACTGTTTATAGAATATCCTCATCTAAAATTTTGATTCCACTTTATAGGAAACTACATTCCAGACAACAAATACATCTTCAGCTCTCGCTCAGATCTGCAGATAACATCTGAACACACTAAAAATTAGCACCGTTTAATTAGGACAGCACCATGTGTTCTCCAAGTTCATTATCTACTTCTCTCTGCACTATGGTAAACATTTTATTTTCAAGTTCTGCTTTCCAGAATTTGTAACAACACGCCCGAAAATGTCAAAGCCCTCAAAAATTTAAATGGATCAAAGCTTCTAGGTACCCTAGCCTGAGTTTAGAGCAAAGAGGTTTCTGAACTCATCCTATTCTCCACATGGAAAAATCAAGGAACGTATCTGCTCTGTACACAACAGCAGTACACATCAGCTTTGACCGAGGACAGCAGTGTGAAGTACTCCAGACTAAACTGGCATGCATGGATCTGGACTAGTTTCCTAGGCTTTGAAAGACCCTAACATCACATCGCTGATTCTGACACTACTATAATTCCCAGGCCTTTTAACTACAGGGAAGCCAAGTAAATCACCAATTTTAAGGTGGAGACGATGTTGGTCAGGTGACTCAACACCAGAGCTAGACATGCAGGACCGGAGAAATCAGAGAAAATGTTCACAGGGGTGAGAAAATCAGAAGATTATCATCTAGAAAGGAGATAGGAAAGTGAATATTTCATTTATGGAGAGCAAATAGAAGGTACTAAGATGAAAGATCTTAAATGAATTCATTTCAGTTTGAATGCACAGAAGAACCGTGATAAAGGACCATATGTGAGGGGTGGCTCAACTATGTCAATGTGGCAGAAAATAGCAGACAGACTTTAAAATGACAGATTAAAAGCTCAAACCTAATACACTTAAAATACTCTGCCACACATCCTTCCATATGCTTTACCTTTACTTAGTCCTTAGAAGTAACCCTATATATAAGATTAGGTGTTAATATTATTCCAATGCAGATAAAGAGTTAGGCAATTTGCCAAAAATCAGCTGTTAGCCAACTATGTACCATAAACTCATTTAGCCTCTTCTACATGCCCTACCCTGTATAATAGCATTAAAATGCTACTATGAAGTGGTAGTGGTGTAGAGTATCGAGTTAAGCCACCACCTATGACGTCAGCATCCCTTATTGTAGTACTACTTCAAGTCCAGCTGCTCCACTTCTGATTCAGCTCCTGGGTAATCAACAGAAAATAGCGCAAATATCCCTACCACCCTCATGGGAAACCTGGATGACACTCCTACAGCCAGCCTGGCCCAGCTCTGGCCTGCACTTTCTGCAACTCCCAGATGGCTAGTGATGTTGAGCATTTTTTCATATATTTGTTAGCAATTTGTATTTCTTCTGTTAAACACTATAATAAACTCCTTTCCCCATTCCTCAGCTGAACTGTTTTGTTTTGTTGCTGAGTTTTTAAGTTACTGATATACTCAGGTTATTAATCCCACGTCAGAAAGGTGGTTTGCAAATGCTTTTCCCATTCTATTGGATATCCTCACTCTGCTGATCTTTTCTTTTGCTGTGCAAAACTGCCAGCGTTTGATATACTGCTGTTTGTTTAGTTTTGCTTGCTTTTGTAGCCTGTGCTTTGGGCGTCTTACACAAGAAGTCACCTCTTACATCAATATCTTGCGTTATTTCCTCTACATTTTCTTCCAGTAAACTCATAGTCTCAGGTCTTAAATATAGGTCTTCAATCCATCCTGAGTTGAATTTTGCATATAGTCAAAGGCATGGGTTTAATTTCTTCCATAGACACACACACACACACACACACACACACACACACACACACACACACACACGAGCACGCATTTTGAAAACATGATTTGTGGAACAGATTATCCTTACTTCACTGTACAGATAAGCACTTCTGTCATACATCAATTGTTGGGGGCTAGCACAGTGGTGTCACACACTAATGATCTGCCTGTATCACTGGCATCCTAGAGGGACAAGTGTTTGAATCCCAGCTGCTCCACTTCTGATACAGCTCCCTGCTAATGACCTGGGAAAACAGTGGAAGATGGCCAAAAACCTTTGGTCCCTGCACCCACATGAGA